TGACTCGGGGCCATGGATGCGTCTGTCCAGGCCACCAACAGTCCACCTGCATGCTGAGTGTCCACGCACCTGTGGACACTGGATAAGCACATATGCCCCGTGGCCCTGTGTCCAGTGTGGTCCCCTCACAGCGTAGCCAGGCCAGCCTGTCACCCCTTCTGAAAGTGGACAGGACGTGGGCTCACTTTTCCATCAACATTCCGGGGGTCCAGCCAGAGAAGCCCCATCCAGATGGGCCTCCAGATCGCTGGAGGGAAGGCCCATTAAGAAGCACGTGATCGCTGACGGCCGGGTCTTGGAGCACAGCCCACACAGACTGATGTGCGAAGGAGAGAGGGGCTGGGTACCCGGCTGGGCGCCTGGCGTGAGCTGGGCTGGGGGGACTCACACGTCAACCCTCCCGGACACTGGCCCAGAGGAGCCCTGGCAGGTCTCAAGGCCATGAGCACAGGACTGGCCCTAGGGCCTCCTCTCAGCCCAGGCCACTTCGCGGGGTGGCACAGGTGCCACTTGTGTAGCCGTGGAGGATGAGGGTCTCATGGAGACGAAGCAGGCGGTGCTGACTGCTGGACAGGCCAGGGCCAGGGGTGCGACCCAGGAGTGCCAGGGCCCTTCCTAAAGCGGCTGGGGTCAGATCGGAGCCACCAGAAACTGGGGGCGGGGGGGGGGGGTGGGCCAGGCCATTGGGCCCGGGCCCTTAGTCCCCAGGGCCATCTGGTGGGAACTGAAGCTGGGCTCTGGCCGAGGACCAGGGCTTTTCTGGAAGGGAGGCAGGGCAGGGGGGTGGCCCTGCAGGCTGTGGGGCCTGGGCCCACCCTGTTGTCAGCCCCCAGGGACCGCACTGGGACATCACCCTGGCTAGCATCCCAAGACTGGGGGCTCACTGGCCTTAATCCCTGCCAAAACCTGCCTGGTGGACCCCACTGTCCTTAAGCCCCATGTCGGCACGGAAACCCGATGCCAGCTGCCCCCAACCCATCCTCCCCCAGAGCCCCCCGCTGCTCCCCCTGCCGCCTAGGAGCCGGAGGGCCAGGGTCTCTCCCTGTGCAGGGTGGTGGCCACCCCTCCTGCAGCCTTTGTGCCTGTGTGACCCTGGGGGCACGGAGTGTGGGAACGGGGCTGGGGGCCACGGGACACAAAGACTGGGGAGGGGCGGGGTCAGCGGCCACTGCCCCTCTTCCTGTCGGTCCCTAGTCTGGTCGTCAGGAAAGAGGGAGGGTCTGCAGGAATGGGCTAGGCACAGGTGTCCCCGCTGCCCCAGGTTCTGGGCATGGGTGCTGGGAGGTGGCTGCCTGCAGTCCCCCTCACATCCCCAGGCCAGGGGAGCCCTCTGCTTGCCTCCGTCTGCTGCCAGACATCAGTCTGGGCCGTTGTCCACCTCCACCCCGGGGGCCCCCCGCCCAGCCCTGCTGTGTCCTGAGTGTCTGTGAGCCTGTAGCCTGAGGCCCGACCTCTGCTAGCTGCAGGCTCCTCTCTGGCCCAACACCCTCCGTCTCCTGGGGACCCTGTGGCCAGCACTGCCTGAGAGCTCCCCAAGGCAGGGTCACCGTCCTGCAGTGGCCTCTCCTCCCGGGTGCCCGCTTCCGGAGGCCAACGTCACTGACTCCTAGGACACGCCCTACTTGCACACGGGGACCACAGCCTGCTCCCCACCATAGCGGAGGGGGACCAGAGGGACAGTAAAAATAGACATTACACTTGGGCCATGTCAGGGGTTCCTGCTTACGCTTTTTTTTTTTTTTTTTTTTTTAACTCCAATCTCTTTGATAAAATATTTTCCCATAGCGGACGGCACTGGGAACATCCATTTGGCGGATGTTCCTGACGGACGATCCCAGGCCCAGGTGGCCATTTTCAGGGGTCCATGACCCTGCCCGCCACAGGAGACCCACCACCCCCTCAGCCGAGCCTCCCTGCCCACCTCTGGCCTCCACCACGTGGCTCCCTGTCCTCATGTGCAGATGCCCCAGAAAGTGGACCCTGTGCTCAAGGCACATGCCGAGTGTCAACACAGCTTGGAGGCAGGTGCTGGGCACTAGAGTGGGGCACGGCCATGGACCCCTGGCCGGGCACCTAGCCCAGGCCTGGACCAGCCCTCTCCCATTCTGACTTGCTTCCCGCCTTGGACCCTGATGCACCAGCCCAGAGAGTGGCCAGGCTCACTCTGGGAATGCCTGTGTGTCAAGTGGGTTTTCCCTCCGGGAATGGCACTAAAATAGCATAAGGAAGGAAAAGAAAATGGAAAGTCAGCCTGGCAGTGGGAGGTCTCCAGGGAGACGGCCAGCTCCAGCCCGGGCCGGGCGGCAGGGGCTCTGAGCCAGCGTCCAGGGTGCGCAGGCCCCACTGGAGCACAGGGCGGGGCCCTGAGGACAGAGGCCCTCCCTGGGTCAGTCCTGAGTGTGACGCTCCCTGCTGGTCAGCGGCCGGCACTTTCTCATGCCCAGACCGGCTCGAAAGCCAGTCTAGCCCATGGGGCCACGTGGAGCCAGCCTAGGGGCTTCGCTGAGCTTTGGGCCATCGCCTGGGAACGTCTGTGGGGCACCTCTTCGGGGCTTCTCGGTGCTTGCCACCCATCTACTTTGCCTGGCCTTGAGAACAGCGGGGCACCGGGGGGGCAGTAGGGGTGGCCAGTGTGCAGGATGGGGTGGTTGGGCGTTCCTGGCTGTTTCTCAGGCTGAGCTCCTGGGGTTCGGCTGGGAATGCCGTGGCGGAGGGGCTCCAGGAGCTCTGGGTGGGAATGTGGCCGGAGGCCTGCCCAGACCTGTGCTCACAATGACCGGGTATTTGGTCTGAGAACATGCGTGGGGACCCCGGCCTCAGGCCCAAGCATTAATACTACCAGCTCCCTGACACAGAGTAAGCTTAGTCCTCCCACCGCTTCCCCAGATGTCTCTGTGGTGACCACGGCCAGTTCCAAATTTAGAAATCCTGGCTTCTCAGAAACCCCTTTCTCTGCCCACTTGGCTCCATAAAGTTGGCCTTTCAGGCTCCTTGTGCACATTCCTGGACCCTCCCACACAGTTATCTGCCACCCAGGGAGGGTCCTGCCCTGGGGCACACCCAGCACACTTTCTTTTGGAGCTGAGCTCAGCTGGAGGCCACTGGCCAGCCTTGGAACCAGAAGCTCTCCGGGCCCTTCCTTGACAAAGGCCCATCAGGCGTCCACATGCAGCCTTACACCTGTGCTCCTGCCTGCTGCCTGGCAGCCAGCGCCTGACTGCAGCCACACACAGGGGTCTCTGCCTGGGACGCCCCCTCCTGCTCCCCCCTCGAGCCTGGGGTGGCTGCCCTCTGCTTCTTGGCCAGTGCAGTCACATGGCACCAAGTCGTGGACCCTGTCTGTCCTCCTCCCCAGCTAGTCTTGGCGGAATGCGTATATACCTCAAATAAGGACAGTGCTGGGCAGAGCTCCCGAGCCGAGGCTTCCCCTTCCCCGTGCCCGTCCCCAACCTAGAGGGCCTGATGCGTGGGCCTCCAGACCAAGACCCCAGGGAGCCCAGACCCGGCACCTTCCCTCCCTGCTGGCCAGGGGCGAAGCCCGAAACCCGAGCCCACTCCTCACCTGCTACAGATGCCACCTCTCACCTGGACTCCCTCCCCCCTGCTACCTGCTGCAGCCAGAATAGATCTTAGCACCTCTGTGCCCCCGGATGGTGTCCCCCCCGGTGGGTTGTCTTCCGTCCTGGGGTGCTGGAGAGCTGCCCTCTCCGGCCAGGGCACTTGCTGGTCCCCTATCAGGGCTGGTGCAACTCTGCCTCCCAGCCTTTGAACTGCCTCCATACCGCACCCACCCCGCCTCCCTGGGGCACATTCTGCATCCTGCCCCTCGCACCTGGCAGGGCAGGGGGGCTCTACAACTGCCCGGGGCGGAGGGGCAGGTGGGGCCGTGGACACTCTTCCGTGTGCGGCTGCCCTCGGTGCCCTCGCAGGCCTGAAGGAGGTCAGCCTGCTCCCCAGCATGAGGCTTCCCGGGGCACGGGTGGGGGTTTCCTCCCAGCTACCCAACTTCCTGTTTTCTCAAGAAAACTTAGCAGCAGAGGCTCTGAAAAGCTCATTAAAATGCCTCCCAGGCATCCCGGACGTCCTGGGGTCTTTACAACACTTGTCGGCTTGAGCACAGACAAAGAGAGGCCGCAGACGAGGTTCCTGTCCTGCCAGAGCTCGCTGAAGGAAAAGGCCCCGCGGTGCACTTCCCGCCACTGGGATGACCGCAGTCGTTTCTGGCAGGGCCGGGGACCCGGGGTCGGCACAGGCTGGACCTGAAGCTGGGTAGAGGGGGGTCCAGGACCTGAGGAAGGGCCTCCCTCCCTCCTGTCTCACTCACACCCGGCTGCATGCCTGCCCTCAGGGTGCCCCATCTCCAGACGCAGGCACACCAAGGTGGGATGATGTCCCATGAGCCTGGCCGGAGACCCTAACCCCTACCCCCCTGCGCTGCAGAGGTGAGGCCCAGTGTCCACCAAACAACTGGGCTTGGAGAGGTGCTCCTCACAGAGCTTCATCATGGCCCCAACTCCAAATATTCCGGGAATAGCCAGCACTCTGCACCAGGAGCCACTGAGGTGCACTAGGACTGTGCCCTGTGGGGACCCCGTGCCTCAGTGCAGCCACGCCCCGGCCTGCACCACCTCCCCCTAAGCCAGATATGGGGGCTAGGACTCGGTGCACCCAGGCCGGCAGAGAAGGGAGAGGAGGGCGCCCCCTCCCTGGTCCGAATCGGCAGACAGGACCCAGGCCTCAGACCCCCCTCTGACCTTAACCCTAGACATGGCTTTCCCGACCCAGACCTTTCTAGACGTTAGAATGGACCCAGTGGCGCCCATCTGCCCCAGATGGGGCGGCGGCGGCCGCTTGGAAGGGCACAAACGCTAAAGCACGTGACCTCTGTTGTCTTGCCACCAGCCAGAGACACGCTGGGTCTCCTGTCACAGCAGTGGCTTCCTGACAACCCTGGGGCTCACACACTGGCCCAAGGCAGGCCGGGGGCAGGTGGGACTCACCTGGCAGCGGCTGAAGATGTCTGCGTGGGTGACTCGAACGTTGAAATGCCTGAGCACGGCCTTGGCCTGCTGACGGGCCTTGAGGGAGCAGTCCACCCAGAGGCAGCGCCCAGCCCCGACCTGGGCCCGGAGCTGCACGGAAGCACAGCCGCTGAGCCGTGGGCACAGGACCCAGAGCCTCTCCAGGCCCACCTCCCCTCCCTGGGCTCCGGGGCCAAGGGCTCCTCCCCCCCAGCTCGTCCCCCCAAGTGGGACAGCCGTCAGCCCCCACTCCCACTAGCCTCCGCAGCGAGCAGACCCCGAGGGCGGTGGCCCAAGGGCCAGGCTGAGGCTCCCTTGGAAAGATGAGCCATCTTCAGGGACCCCACCTTGTGGTATGGCAGCCCCGACGTCAAGATGATCCTTCCCTCCTGCCTGGCAACCTGTGGGGAGGCAGAGGGACAGGTGAGGGGCCGGCTGGTTCCAGGACAAGGGCTACTTCTGCCCCCGCCTCTGCCCTGTCCGGCCTCTGCTGCCACCACCGCTCACCCACACCCCCACCCCCCACCCCGGCCCCCAGGCTGCCCGCCTGGGGCCTGCGCGGCCAGCAGAGTCCTGGGCCGCTGCCTCATTGTGCAGATCGGGTCTTAAAATCATGCAGACGTTTTACATAATTGCAAACAAAATTTGAAATCAAAAAAGCAATCTCTAAAAATCCAAAGATGACGAGACCAATGAACTGCAGAGAAAGAAGTCTTCCGTGCACCCTGAAAGCGCGGCGAACTGACCGCGCAGCTCCAGGCTGCCTTGCTAGCGGCCAGGGCGAAGAAGCCGGGCAGCGGTCCTGTCGCTGGTGCTGACTCTGGCGGCGTCCCTCGAAACGCTCGCTGCCAACTGTGCCAAAGACAGATGGCCGACGCTGGTGCTGAGCTGGGTCCGGGTGGGAGAAGGAAGGGTGAGCATGGGAACCAGGGAGGTGGCACCACGGCTTCAGGCCTGACGGGAGCTTCGGTACGAATTTCACACGTGCGTGTGCACGTGCGTGCCTGTGTGCGCACACACATTGAAAAGCATTTCATCACTCTGTCTACCACAAAGGCCTCCAAATGAGAACAACCATGTAGCCAGGAGCAGCCTGTGCCCAGACTGGTTTCCAAACAGGTGGAAAGGGAATCGGACTTTTTTTGGAGAACTAGCTGACTCCAGGTCTGAGGCAGAAAATGCACACAGTGAGGCGGGCACATCTCGCCATGTCAGAAAGCAAAGAAGTCATCAAAGTCCACAGGTGCCACGTGAAAAGGACTGAGGACCCAAGGAAAGCCCTCACATGCCACAGGGGGGCAGGGCACCCATCAACGAGGTGACAGCAGCAATGCACAGAGACGTCAAACACGGCGATATTGATGGGTTTGGCACATTCTAAACAATCCCTAGTGATCTCTGAAGTGTGCAAGGGGCCAACACAAAAATGTAAGAGTTAAAACTATAAAAATCTCTTTTTTTTAAGTTCATTTGTTTATTTTGAGAGAGAGAGAGAGAGAGACAGCATGAGCAGGGGAGGGATCGAGAGGGGGTGTGGAGAGAGGGAGAGAATCCCAAGCAGGCTCCACGGTGCCAGCTGCGGAGCCCGAGACGGGGGTCGAACTCACAAACCATGAGATCATGACCTGAGCTGAAACCAAGAGTTGGATGCTTAACCGACTGAGTCATGCAGGTGTCCCTAAAACTAAAAGAAAAGTAAAAACTAAAAATCTTAAAAGAAAACGTGGTGTGGGAAATGCCATGGCATTGTATTTGGCAACGATTTCTTGGATATGGCACCAAAAGCAAGGCCAACAAAATTAAAAACAGAAAAATTGGACTTCATGGAAATTTAACACTTGTACATCATAGGACACTATCGAGAAAGTGAAGAGTGAGTGAAGATATTTGCAAATCATGTATCGGCTCTGGGATTAATATCCAGAATGTATAAAGAACTCCTACAAGTCAGCAACAAAAAAGCAAATAGCCCAATTAAAAGTGGCCCAGGGGCTTAAATAGACATTCCTCCAAAGAAGACGTGCAGATGGCCAACAAGCACATGAGAAGACACTCAACATCTTTAATCGTTAGAGAAATGCAAATGCAAACGACGAGATATGACTTCACACCCATTAGGGGAAATAAGTGTTAGTGAGGATGTAGAGAGGTTGGAGCCCTCATGCGTGGCTGGTTGTAATAAAATGGTATATTCACCATGGAAAACAGTATGGCAGCGTCTCAAAAAGTTACACGTAGAATCATCATATGATCCAGCCATCCCGCTTCTAGGCACAGTCACACAGGAACTGGAAGCGGAGCGGAAACTTGAACAGATACTTGGGACAGAAAGGTGCGCACTGGCATTACTCACAACAGCCAGAAGGTGGAAAGGACCCAAGCGTCCAGGTGAGTGGGTGCACGCGCACACGCACACACACATACACACACGTGCACATGCGCGCGCACACACACGCACACACGCTGGAATTTATTCAGCTTTAAGAAGGAAGGAAAGCCCAACATGCTACAATGTGGATGAACCCTGAAGACATTCTGCTCTGTGAAATCACCCAGACACAAAAGGACAAATACTGTACGATTCTGCATATATCAGGTATTCAGAAAAATCCAACTCATAGAGAAAGAAACTAGAACGGTGGGTCCCAGGGGCGGGGGGGGGGGATGGAGAATGTTTAATGGGTACAAAGCCTTTCTTTAGGGTGATGAAAAATTTCTGGAGCTAGATAGTGGTGAGGGTTACACAACACTATGAGTCCTTAATGTTACTAAGTGTACACTTAAGAATGGTTAAAATGATCAATGTTTTGTATATTTTACCCCAAAAAAGAAGAAAAAAAGCAATAAAGCGAGTGGTTACCTTGTAGTGATAACAAACATACGTCTGTGTGATGAATAAAAAACAAAATAAACAAACACAACTGAAGTAAATATGAAGAAAGAAGCAAATGAATGGAAAGTTAAGAGAAAATATACAGACAAGGTATATGGAAATGACCAAGCATAGGGGCGCCCGGTGGCTCTGTCGGTTGAGTGTCCGACTTCGGCTCAGGTCATGATCTCACGGTCTGTGAGTTCAAGCCCCACGTTGGGCTCTGTGCTGACAGCTCAGAGTCTGGAGCCTGATTCTGTGTCTCCCCCTCTCTCTGCCCCTCCCCCGCTCATGCTTTCTCAAAAATAAATAAGCCTAAAAAAAAAAAAAAAGAAGAAAAGAAAAAAAAGAAATGACAAAGTACTGATGACAAACATCTCAACAGCAACGATGGACACCAAAAAACAGTGGGCTATTTTCAAAGTTTGTCAAACTATAGTTATAAACCCAGAACACTCTCTTTCAGGAGAGAGGACATAGAGATTTTTCAGGGAAAAATAGCCCCAGTGAAATGATGTAGTAAAAGAAGTTCTTTTAGCAAGAAAGAGCTTGCTTTTTCTTGGAGCAAGTTCTGTTGTACAAGGGCACATGCACACAGCATAAACTCTACAAGCCATCAAATACACAAATACGACGTCTAATTAGTGGAATCAAGAAAAACCACATTGTGTTAAAATATTGGAAAATAACAACAGGTAAGTTGGGAGGGAGAAAACCGACTTGATCGAAGATCCTCGTATTAACTTTTACGCTAGACAACGTTAACTCAGATATAAATGTTAACATTTCTAGCATAATCTCTAAAAGAACAGAAATACAACTTATAGGGGCACCTGGGTGGCTCCGTTGGTGAGCATCTGACTTGTGACTTTGGCTCAGGTCACGATCTCACGGTTCGTGACTTGGATCCCCAACTTGGGCTCTGCGCCGACATCGTGGAGCCTGCTTAGGATTCTCTCTCTCCTCTCTCTGCATCCCCCCCCCCAAATAAATAAGAAATGGAATTTATAACTTTCAAACTAATAGAAAAGTAGAACAAGGGTGAAAAGCTAAAAGAATGTTAAGAAACAAAGGGAAAAAAGAACAGAAGTAGAAGCAACAGAAAACAGAAGTTAGGGGAGCACAACTGAACCCAAAGGGTATTAGCAATTACATTAAACGCACACAGACTAACCTAATAATTTAAAAAGCAAAGATTGTCAGACTAGATTTTTTTTTTTCACATTTAGCTAGAAGCTTCTTATAAGAAACACATATAATACACCTAGTCTACAAGAGTAAAGGAAGGTTGAAAGTAAAAGGACTAGGAATGATATACAAATACTAACCAAAGAATACTGGAGAAATGACGTCAATATTAGTTAAAATAGACTTTATGGCAAAGAGCATTAGTAGAGCCAAAGAGGTTTATTATTAGGTAATAATTGTAAAAGATTTCAAACAAGAAGATGTAAGAAGTCTAAAAATTATATGCATATGCACCTAATAACATAATTTAAAAACATATAAAGCAAATGCTGACACAACTACAAGAAGAATTTGATGAACCCACCATCATAGGAGACTTCAGTACAGAGAATTAGGCAGAAAAATAATTGAGGTACAGATGATTTGAGAAATACATTAATTCAGTTTGATCTACTGACTATGTGTATGTATGAGAGAGAGAGAGAGAGAGAGAGAGAGAAATGAGCATGATTAGAGGAGAATATGTATCCTTTTAAAACCCACATGGGGGGCGCCTGGGTGGCTCAGTCAGTTGAGTGTCGGACTTTGGCTCAGGTCATGATCTCACGGTCAGTGAGTTAGGGTCCCGTGTCGGGCTCTGTGCTGACAGCTCAGAGCCTGGAGACTGATTCTGTGTCTCCCTCTCTCTCTGCCCCTCCCTGGCTCATGCTCTGTTCTCTCTCTCAAAAATGAATAAATGTTAAAAAAAACATTAAAAACAAAAACCCACATGGAACATTGATTAAAAAGATTGTCTACTTGGCTATATAAGGCAAGTCTTCACAAACATCTAAATTAGCACTATATAGACGATGCTCCTTGATTACTATTCAGTTAGGTTAGAAATCCATTTTAAAAAGAGAACTAAAAAGCTCTAAAACTCCAAGCTTTCTGAAATTAGAAAATAGTTTTCTAGAGAACCCTTGAGTCAAATAAGTAATTGTAACAGGCACTCAAAAATTATTACAACTATAGAATGAGAAAAGTACTACAGATCGAAACTGATGGAATGCAGTGGAAACGGTACTTCAAGAAAAAATTTATGGTCTTGAATGTTTACATCATCAAATTCAAAAGGCTGAAAGTTAAGGAGCTAAGGAGCACCCCACTTGGAAGTAACCCCAAGAAAGCAAAAGGAAGGAAACTATAAAGATAAGAAGTTAATGAGACAGAAAACAAGAATGAGATAGAAAGGATCAACAAACCAGATACCAGTACTTTGAAAAGGCTTATTAAGTTAACAAATCTCTGTAAGATCGAGAGAAACGGAGGAGCGCGAGTGCCCGACGGTGAGACCGGAAG